ATGCAGAAGAGGCTGACATTATATCCTGTGCGGCACGTGCAAAGCAATTCGCGTCACGGATGGGAAATACATGGCGACTTATGACGGACCTCACGTGGCCAATTGTTGCTTATACTACAGGTCATGAATTTAATCGGTCCATATACAAGTGTTTCTACGATTCGCATATCGAGGATATGTGGTTGCCGTACTTTTGCAACTCTACGAATATCTTGGACTCGTGTCAAGAGATTCACGACTCAGGTTAGTACATTATATAGATGATGTTAGCAAGGTTGTCTCACTGGATCTGAAGGTTATGCATGGCGCTACATTCGTGCCTCCATGTCCTTGGTCGGTTTACTTCCACCTCTTTCGGATAATGGCAAAGTCTTGGTGGATGGGGGGTATGGTGAGTGCGAGTTGTTTTTTCACGGTACTTCGTGTTAAATCTATACTAGTGGACAATTTACCTGTTGCTGCTATGCAAAGTATGGGTACGAGCTCGGTATTTGCCATAGATGTTGGATCTGTAAGCATTTTCCTACAACCAAGGGATTATTTCTGATATAAAGTTTAGCTTGACGATAACTCTCCGAGGTCGGTCTCTCCGTTGTTTATCATCAATTAGCTAACTCGGCATAGGCACTTTGGAGATACCATCTCGGGCTCATGGATGATTCTAAACAAATGGAATCCTTTCTCATCTGCTAGGAGTGTCCCCCAAATAGCCGAAATTCAAACTCGTTTGGCCTAGTAAGAGTCTCTTTGTATGAGATAAACCGGTGATTCTGATGGTTGATTAGCGTGTCAAGTATTCGGAATCTGGAAGAGGCCAAGATTGCACCAAACTGTCTATACGCAGCTCTCCCAGTACAAGAGGTACCTATTCCATTGATACGTATTGATGAATGACTCACCAAGGGCTTAGTTTGGGACACTTCAATTTGGTCAATATGACGAGATCTCTAAAGTTGGCTATACCTCGGGGCTAGAAATGATTTCAGTTTGGGAATCTGAGGGAAGACTTCCTACTGGACTAGAAGATGGCGTTGAGCCAAGTAGACGCAGAGGACGAGGTCTGCGACGAAATTCAATCTGAGAGGAGTCACAATATGCCAATGCTGTAAACTTATAACTAGATTAAGTTTCACACAAGAGAAATACAAGCACGATATATGAACCATTTAATGGCTGATTTGTGATTGCATTTGTGATGCGACCCCTCTCAAGTTGCACCTAGCCACGCCACCCTCACCCATTGAAATTCCCAATTTTCTCCAAAATGCAGCGCGGCTTGCCAATGGTAAAAACAAAATCGTGACAATTACAATGTTTTGAGCTAATGATTCGTAATCTAGCAACCTACTGTCGTCCTACTTCGAGAGGGGACAGATACCTCACAAGGAAGTGGCCAACTTCTGTCCAACATCTCTGCATGTCTAGCGATCGCCGATACATTATCAACAACACTTGGTCCACGTGGTATGGATAAGCTCATTGTTAATGACAGAGGAGAAGCACAAATCACGAACGATGGAGCGACCATCTTAAAATTATTGGAGATCGTGCATCCAGCGGCTAAGACCTTGGTTGACATTGCCCGTGCTCAGGATGCGGAAGTTGGCGACGGAACGACAAGTGTAGTTCTACTAGCTGCTCAGTTCCTTAAAGAGATTAAGGGGTACATTGAAGAAGGAATGAGTCCTCATGTCATTATCAAAGGATACCGACTGGCAGCTCAAATGGTAAGTTCCCTCACCATAACCGTTCCAAATTTATGTTCAAAACTTCACTTTCTATAGGCTGTGGACCGAATCAAGGAGATTCAGGTTTCAATAGACAAGAGTGATTCAGAGTGAGGAGCACCGTACCTAAACTTCTTATTCATCAGCACTAATAACTCTAATTTCAGCAAATTCCGGGATCTGTTGATCAAATGTGCATCCACTTCAATGTCCTCCAAGCTTATACAAAGCCAAAAGCCATTCTTTGCGAACATGGTTGTGGATGCTGTCATGTCCCTTGATCAGGACGATTTGGACGAAAGCTTGATCGGAGTGAAGAGGATATCAGGTGGTGGAATGCAGGTATGTTAGGATGTTATGTTTGGTTAATGCTCATCTGATTAAACGATTGCATAGGACTCGTTGCTTATCCAAGGTGTTTCCTTTAA